AAAAAAAAAAAAAAAAAAAAAAAAAAAAAAAAAAAAATGCCCCAAAAGGATCAAATTTTAAATGACAACCTAACAGCTTGTAGCAAGAATACAAGAAATATTTATACTTTTTAATCTAACATATCTAAGACCTGAAGAAAATAATCTGGAAAAAAATTGAAAGCTTTATAATTAACTGTGGTCACCAAAAATGTGCATAAATGAAAGGAAAATTAATGACATATCCACACAATGAATTATGATTCGGGTATTAAAATTAACGTCACGTAATAGCACGGACAATGCTTTTTATAATAAAATATGATTACAATGTTGTAAAACAAGGCACTCTCTGTAAAAAGGAGACTGCAAAGAGACATATCCCCACTAAATTTTCTAAATAGTAACTGCTTTTCAGTAATGGAATTATGGATGATTTTTAAAATTTCCTTCTATTTATTTATCTGATTTTTATTTTTTAAAATAGTAACTCTAAATCGCTTCTCATCCTTCTGGCTCAGCCTGAGTGTAATGGTGAATTTATACCGTCTTTCAGATGGGAAACAAATCCAACATTTTCAACATTCACAGTTGCCTAGTCAATATACTCTCAGAAGAAATCTAAGTAACAAAGTCCAAGTAAGTACAGGGCACAGCCAGAAACTCCAGTCACTCAATCTGGTGCTTAAGACTGGAATGGTGGCTGTGTGAAAACATTTATGAAGTCCAAGGCCTTCCCCTTTAAAGATGAGTTAAGATAAGCGCTACCACCCCTGGGAAAACGTCTACACTCGCAATAGAGTTAGAAACTGAATCAGATGCACAGTACTTACTGGAACTGTTGAGAGCCGGGACTCGGGCAGACAGCCGCCGAGGAGGGGTGCGCTGCCTGGGCTGTGAATTAAGGCGGACACAGAACAATGTTTTCCAGAAACGACTGCCCCTGGCCGTGCTTTCCATGGCGGGCACCACACTCCTGCTTTGCAGCAGCCCCCGTGGGCACGCGAAGCCCAGTGCGGGGGTCTCTCCTGTCACCGTCACAGAAGCCCAGGAGGACAGGAAGCACTGGGACTTTATTTGCGGACCTGCAGGGCTCAGTGACCAGCCTGCAAGGCCCGGCACGACCCCAGTCGGAGGCCTCCGACCCTTCACCCCTCAGTTTCCTCCCTCCAAACTCAGCGGCTGGGGGCACAGGCCTGTAATCTGGCGCTCTGGGAGGCCGATGCAGGAGGACGAGTGCCTGCCCGGCCTGGGTAATTTAGCAACTTAGCGAGACTCTGTTTCTAATAATAATTTTTGGTGTTATTATTTTTCTATTAGTGCGTGTTTGAATTCAAGCAATTTGCAATCATCTCGGGCCACTATGTCCCAGTAGGATGCAGCTCAGAGGGAAGGCCCTGGGTTCAATCCCCAGTGCTGCAAGATAGATAGGTGAAAATTTAAAGAAATACAACCAAAAGTTCAACTTCTGCAGTAAGGAGAGAAACACGGACTATTTACAAAAGGTATTTTACTCAGTGGGACTTCAGTTCAAAATATTCAAAATAGTTTGGCTGATCATTAGGGGCCAAAAGTCTACTAAATGAGAAATCACTCTAACAGTCTGAGGCACAGTCAAGTATAATTTTAAATATGTGAAGGGACTAAAAAGCCTTCTGTAAAACCTCTCTTCTGTCCAGCACTGCAGATTACTGCCAGCTTCCATCTCCTTCCCCTCCTGCTTTCTGCGCGTCACTGCCCACAAGCACGCGGCCACTTCGCAGGTCGCATTTTTACACAGAACGGTGACACCGCCAGGCCAGAGGACGGAGATCAGCCCCAGCTCTGCCTTGGAGGCCAAAGGTGACTGCGGGCCGACCTCACTGCTGGACACCCAGCTTCCGCCTGCTGCTAATGCCCCCCGTCCCCTCTCCGCTACTCTACTGGCCTGGTTTCTTTTCTGTTGCTGTTCTTAGAGAAAAAAATTTAGAGGGGCCTGGGGTTTAGCTCAGTGGTTCCGATGCCTGACGCTCAAGGGCCCGAGTTCGATCACCGGTATGCCACCTCCACCCCAAAAAGAGAAAAAGAAAGAAAAAAAATTTAATGGTGTGAAAATGTTTACCACGCAAAGCTAGGTGAGAAAAAAGAGGATTCAATAAACTGTTCATAAAGAACAGTCCTAGGGCCGGGGATTTAGCTCAGCGGTTCAGTGGCCAGTTCAATCCCCGGTACCAAAAAAAAAAGAACAGTTCTAATTACGTAATATATGCATAGGAAAGAAAAAACACTAAAGAGGGTGGAAATGATGATTTGTGGCCAGAGGAATAATGAGCTGTATGTAATCTCCGCCCCCCCGCTACATGCCTGCATTTAAAAAACATATTTAAAAAAAGAAGAAAGATTATTTATTCCAAAATCCAAAGTGCTTCGAAATAAGGCTCGAGAGAAACTACTGCGAAGTTTCCGGGAGTCCACTTAGGACTAAACGACGCGGTCGCCCATCGATCGTGGCCGGTGCTGGCCGTGTCCCCGAAGG